AGAGCCTCTAAATCATGAATTTTATTCCTAATACTCCTGGCGTTTAAATACAGAGAACAAAGGGTAGGCCTATTACAGTGCCTACATTCACCGATATCAAAGTGTGAAGTAGCTTTGACATGAACAAATAAGGAAGTTTCACCAAATCGCACATTAAATATACGATCAGTACAAAACATCCTAATTAATTATTCCTTATAAAATGTATTTTCTGAATTTGTGTGGAACAGAAATGATGTACACTTTGACGTTTCCATGCGATTGTGTCGTGCATGTCCAATATTAAACCAACTTCTCAGCGGTTCTAACGCTAACCCGAAATTTGATATCAGGTGAGTGCTGCTCTCAGGATTCAAACTGATTTTGTGGTATTGTAGGGAGAAAGATGCCTTGGTGTTCACAATGCAGTTTGCTACACAGTGGCCCCTTCCGCACTGACATATGTTCCGACATAGTTCTTTGGTCAGTCACTGTGTTAGAGATGCAAGGTAAATCATACTGCAGTCTAAGAGTTTAGTCCGAAGCACGTAATCAGCTCATCAGTGTCCAATAAGTGCTTTGAAATGTCCATAGCTGCTTGCATATGCTGTAACAAAGCTTTACATCACATTATGCAAGCATATGCAAACTTAAAGAACATCACTGGCTGAAGTCCTTGACAACAATTACTACATTAGCAAAAATACCACATAAACACGGGCATTTTGTGATGAGTCTAGAGGGGAAAAAAATGCCATGTCAAGATGTATTCTGTCTCACAGTTTATACCCTGAAGGCGTTCCATAACATGTCGGCATCAATAAGAGGAACTGATAACAATGGAAGCACATGATTCCAATCAATGGAAAAATTTGGAATTGGTTATATATTGGAACTGGTTCTCATTTCCCATCCATCATTCCTTGCTATTGTCAGTTCATACAATATTAAACTGCTTAAGCATGATATTAAGCCTTGCATAAGGGGCAGATCTGAAGGTCATTTAGGCCAACTTACATATAATATGACCACCAAGTAGAGAAAGCTAGTGCCAGGAGATTGAATGATCATATTTATGAAGGTGCACCCTGTTGCTCCCCAGCCACATCCTACCTGGAGGCCACAATCCAGCCTGGGAGACCAAACCTCTCATAGTCGCCCCCATATATGTCCCGCACCAGTTTGTCTACTCGTGTGCTCTCCCCACGTGAGGCCATCTCCAGTGCTTCCTCAAACGTGGAGCAACCCGTCAGCAGACAGCACAGCCCAAGGAAAGTCCCTCCACCAAGACTGAAAGCCAGACATTAATCAAACTGTTATATCAATGTTAGCTTTAGAAGATATAAAAATCATCATCGCAGCCTAGCTCACCTTGTCCCAGTGACACGTTTAAAATTGTCTTTGGAATGGACTGCAAGAATGCTGACCCCAGATCCGATGTTGACTAGCAAGAGTGGGTAGGGGTTCTCCAGTCTGTAAGGCTTGACTATGCAGTGCACTGGATCTGTTGGATTTTCAAAGTAGTAACACTCAGAGGGTCCGCTGGAGTTGACTGAGTCAATGTACAGGACACCACGGATGAGACAGTCCAACTCATCCAGCTTCAGGAGCTGTAGATCAGCCATCTGATGGGGTCAAGGGGAAAATAATAGAATTTGTGGTTTCCTCTGGGCATTACATAATATCACTCCAGCATGTTTCAAACTAACCAACAACAATGCAACTAATATATATATATATATATATATATATATATATATATATATATATATATATATATATATATATATATTAGTTAGAAAAGTTACCCTTTGAACTGGCCCTTTGGTTTTGAATATGTGAGCGGATGTCCCTAAAAACACCCCTCGTTGTTTCCCAGATGTTTATTCTATATAATCTGGTTTTGGGAAAATACTAGGATACACAATTGGTTTTGTCCCCTCGATTTAGAAACAAAGTCACTTGCATAGTAACAACCCGAGTCAGAAACATCCACTGAACCCACCATACGGAAATCAGCCTCAAACTTGTAGGCCCCACCACCCGTGGCACAGAGTGCCGTATGGAGGCTGGAGAAGTGTTTATCGCGGCCCATCTGCAGGAAGGCAGGCAGGTCTTGGGTGGGGAAGCGAATGAAGTGCAGGTTGCCTGTGCGGCCACACAGGGTCAAATCCTTCAGTTCCAGGTGCACATCCCGGATGCCGGTGGAGCCATAAGCCACATTAGAGGTCAGATACTTGCGGATGCTCTTCAGGTTCTCCACTTCCTCCTGTTCCTCCTCTGCTGTGATGTCCTTCGGTTCAAAATAGACAAGTTTTACGAGGGTCCCACCAATGTCCATTCCGAACCAGGGAAAGGCTTTAGCAAGAAAAAAAGGGAAGTAATTACTCTCTTGTTTGATATGCACAAATCTGATGATCAATAATTACAACCAGAATAACCAAAGGCATCGCGATCAAAACCTCCATCCATCCATCCTGCTGCTTATTCAGCACAGGGCTGCTGTAACCACAGCAGAGGCTACAGCACTTCAAATGATAACATGAAATGTCACGAAGTGGACATTTCTTATTATTTCATACATGTTTACACATTTCTGTATATACACATTTATGTATATACAAGGCCAAGTTATGTTTAAAAAGTAAACAATAATACAAACATGAAAATGCATAACTCAATAAAACACATTTATAACCAACAAGGCATTCCGTACCGCAAAAAGCTGTAAAAAAAAAAAAAAAAAAAAGAAAAGAAAAAGGTCCGTAGAGCATCTCACGTAAGGGGAGATAGATGGATAGATGGATAGATAGATAGATAGATAGATAGATAGATGGATGGATGGATGGATGGATGGATGGACGGGTGGGATGTGTATAGACAGACTGGCTATCTCAAAATATTCGCTACATTAATACAGGAAATTCCTGGCTACATAAAAACAACACGAAAGCAAATTCGTAATAAGACCTCAAACTGACATCATAAAAACAGAAGTAATCAGGGGAAATGTGGTTACTGGCTAACAGTCGGTTTTAATCTCGCTAGTAAATAAACAGCACTTACCCAAGTCAATGTATCGTCACACACATAAGCAGATGCGGATCGTTTTTTAGCTACCTTAAACCGGTCCGGACCGGCATCTTTTACATTAAAACGGGAAGCCTGGGAAATAACATGAGAAAGGCCTCTGAACGGGAGTGACGGGGACACTTACGCGGCCTGCTCTTTCTCGGCGAATCCGCCGTGTGTCTGGCGCGGCGTTCGCTCGGTTCGCCTTGCTCCATCGGGCCGGCCGCTCCCCCCTCAATGCCGCCGTCAATACGCGGATCGCCAGCTCTTCCCTTTCCGGGCGTCTGCTGCCGTGTTTCGCCGTCGTCAGCTTCTGTGCCTCCTTCATCTTCACAGTGACAGCCGTTCAGCTCCATCCGATGCTGCGATTAAGCCCGGCCCGCTCAGAACAAACAGATGTCGTTTTCAGCAAATCTAAACTCAGGTATGTTTACAGCATTTCCAGCGGTACACAGCGCAGGCTAGATGGCCAAGACTGATTTGCCGTGACCAGCGCGTTGAGGTTTTATTGACAACATTCAGAGCCAATCATCGCTCTAGAACTAAAAAAACACAGTTTTCTGTAGCCAATGGCACGCGCCCATTTCACCAAAAGGCAAGTAGCTTCCTCCCTAATCGTCTGGGATATTCACTGAGATATCAGGTATGTGTAAATGTTTGTTTATGAAACCATAGCAAAGTAGCGCATATTCATCCATTTCTTTCCATAGCTACATGCAGTGCAAGATCAATGTAAGCCTGGAACTAGTCTCAAGAAGTAAGGGAGACGCTGGGTGAGATGACAGTGCACAGATATAACCACTGACACTACAGGGCAATTCATCTAAATTCAGTGTTAGAGGAAACTGGAGCAGGAGAACAGGCAGAATCACACACAGGATTTGGGGACAGCATTTTGTATGTATATCTGAAATCTAGTGCTGTTATGTTTTGTTGTTGTTGTTATTATTATTGAACAAAACAACAAATACAAACCATAGACAATAGCCAGGGGGCACAAGAGACAGACAAAAGAAGCAAATGAGCATTACAGAAACTAGCTAGCAATCTCTAGCTCTCTCTCTCTCTATATATATATATATATATATATATATATA